TCTCTCTCTCTCTCTCTCTCTCTCTCTAAACAATGAGTTTGAAATTTACGTCTGAAATGCCCATTCTCACTAATACTAAAATGCCATCAGAAATCTTTAATGATTGGAAATGGCGTTCCAAGGCATGCGTTGAAATGTTTTAAAAATGTATCAAGCCTAGGAAAACAAAAGATAGTACGAGAAAGTACAAAAGACGGTCTGCACCGGCAAGGCGGGATACAAATTGAAAATAATAAATACCGTATTTTCCGGCGTATAAGACGACTGGGCGTATAAGACGACCCCCCACTTCTGAGACGATTTCCCTGGGTTAAAAAGTAGTCTTATACGCAGGAAAATACGGTAAATAAATAATATAGTAAACCCATGTCTGGCGCTGTTCTCAGAATGCATGGGGTTCTTATTTTTTGGATGAAAAGATACTGCACAATTCTAGATCGGTTGTCTCAAAGGTTAGTGTGGAAAATCAAGGAAACGTGAAGGGGAAAAGATGAAAGGGTGTAGTGCTTGTAATGTTTAGTCTTTCAGTCGCTGTAGAACTTCAGTTAACCAAAGACATGGGGGAAGCAGAGAGAATTTTACATTCCTTGGATCGTTGATTTTAAAATGTAGTTCTTTGTCTCAAGGGTGGAGCTACAGAGCCAGCCTCAAGAAGAGAATTATCTTAAAGACCTCAAGGTAGCAACTAAAGAGACTCTGTAAGTGACACTTCATTCATAGGATGTTATATACAGATGAAAGATGCTTGTTTTTAAAAATGAGCACCAGGTAGTGCTGAACAAATATTTTGACAAAATACTGCTGTTCAGTACAGTGATTTAACATTTAACTGGAAGTTAAAAGGAGCATAGCTCTTAACTCTGTGGAATTAGCATAGCTGGATGGGACTATAGAAGGTGTGTTCCTAGTCCTGTGCTGCTTGCATAGGCATTGGGTGCAGGTAAAATGGGATTCAGTGGAACCTGTGGGAATCTTCCACACACAGGCGTTGTGTTTGTGGTAGACTGGAGCATACGTAATCTCATGTACCTCGGATTGTACACATAAAATATCCTTTATGAGAGCCAGTTTGGTGTAGTGGTTACGTGCGCGGACTCTAATCTGGGAGAACCGGGTTTGATTCCCCACTCCTCCACTTGCACCTGGCTGGATGACCTTGGGTAAGCCATAGTTCTGGCACAGCTGTTCTTGAAAAAGAGCAGTTTCTGTCAGAGCTCTCCCAGCCCCACCTACCTCACAGGGTGTCTGTTGTGGGGAGGGGAAGGGAAAGGAGTTTGTAAGCCGCTCTGAGACACCTTTGGGTAGTGAAGGGCGGGGTAGAAATCCAATCTCCTCTTCTCTTCTTCTTCTTCTTATGAGGAAAGATTGCAGATTTTCCATCCAAAGCCATTTATTGGCATATACATGAAGAATAGTAATCTAAATACAAAATCGTGCATGGTAAAATTGGAATTGCAGAGTAACATCATAATAAGAGTAGCATCCTAATAAAACCCAATTCATAGTATCACTTATCGGTCGTGAGATCATGGCACTGCCAAGAAACTTTGCTGCTATTTCAGTTATTTCTGTATCTGGATTATCAAGCAAGGAAAGGAGCTCAGGGGTCTCTAAAAATTGGGCGAATATGGGGTATAGAAGACCCCGACGGGACGCCAGATAGAGAGGGCACTGGAGGAGAGCATGGGCAACAGTTTCAACACAGTCCTTCATACAAGGACAGATTACAGATTTTCAAATTACATTAAATGATTTGAAGTAAAGATTAAAATGTAAATGCAAAGAAAATAAGGCTCCTGAGCGACCGCTGTCTTAACTAGTGGGAATGAATGGTCTGTGTAAAACTACAGCACTCACTCAGCATTATGGCTTGAATCCTGCAACTAGTCTCTGCTATTTGAAGGCATTTCTATCATTGGGCCAGGATTTCATTGACTCCTATTACAGCCTGAAATACTCTCAAAAGTCCTGCTCATGGGGGGGGAAGGAACTTGCAGGAAAAGAATGAAAGATGAACTGGGGGGGGGTCTGCAATGGTGGTGGGAAACTGGTGAAAACCACACCCCTCTTCTGTTAATAGAACATTACTGCAGGATCCAGGCCAGTGCTCTGTCAGTAACGCCATTCCGATTTCTAATAATTGAATATCTGTTCATTTTGCAGAGCTAGACTCCAGGATCCACTAATTTTATTAGAACCATACTGTTTGAGGGAGGTTTTGCTTCACTGGATTCCGTTCCTGGAAGATGCGTTTGGAATCAAGGTGCCTTCCGTTTCAGAAGATAGCTCATACAAGACTGATGGAGAGTCACCCTTGCACCCCGAAGTACAGCAAATTTTGGAAGAAAATGTGGGAACAGATAGTGATCTCACAGAGGAGGAACAGAGACCTGTCTCAAGATCCAGCAATGGAAATGATTCTGTAAATAGCAAACAGGGAGGCACTCTGGATGGAAATACCAAGGAAGGGTCAAGTAGTGTCAATCAGACTGCTACAATGCTTTACCAAAAGAATGATAGACGAGAGGGGGCCTTCAGCCAGCCCTTCCAGATTGTTTCTCCGTGTTTCATAGAACAAGACATGAAAAAGGATCTGGTAGAGCTGACAACTTTATGTTTTGAATTAAAGGTATATGAGCATCTGCAAGTAAATCAGGAACAATCCGTGCAGCCAGATGCTTCCTGTGCTTTGACTTGTCAATTCATAAAGGACTACTTTTTCCTCTTGGATTTGGAAAGACTGAAGCAGTGTATTATCATCTCTCACAGCAGTCATCCCCAAATTTGGGAAACCTATATAGAAGGACTGAAAGGTAACCGATGTGGTGAAGTTTTGTGTCTTTAAACGTACTGAACTGTACTGAACTGTTTGTTTATGCATTTATAGCCCAACTTTCTAGGCTGAGACTCAAGGGGGATTACAGAATACAGAAAACAGTTCAATCAGAAGCATAAGCTATCAAATGAACAATGCAGTAGGACTAGGGGAATTGGGAAAATGTGCACTATTGGGGGGAAATGCGAAGAAACTGTCATGGCATGACATACCATAATGCAGAGAGTGGATTACAAAGATAGAAGATAATGCAGAAAAAGCAAAAGTGATGCATACAATACACAGTCTTCTCTTAGAAAAGTGATCTCCTGAGCAGTGTTCCCTCTAAGCTGAGTTAGAGTGAGCTTAGCTCACAGTTTTTTAGCCTCCAGCTCAAACATTTTCCTCTTAGCTCAGGAAGGGATGGCTCCGGAGCAAACTCATTTATGCAGTAGCCAAATGGCTCACTCACAACTTTAATGCCAGTCGCTCACAAAGCAGAATTTTTGCTCATGAGACTCCACAGCTTAGAGGGAACATCGCTCCTGAGCTATTCCATTTATAGGAAGGTTTTCCTTCAAATGAAATTTATTTAAAATATTCAAAGTCTTCTATGAAGCATCTCAGAAATGTGGAGTGTTTAATTATATTTTTGTTAATAACATTGAAAGAGGTTCATGTCCTCTTAGCGTCCATTGTTTTGTTTTGTTTTTGAAAACATTTTATTAGGATATAATCAACATAGTCAAACATACATCAAACATTATATAGTTATACATCCTATCCTCCTCCCCCCCCTACTCGGCTTCCCACAGTGCTCCAACCTCCTGTTCTTTTCTTAGATGTTCTTCATCCCTCCCCTATTTTATTTTTTTCTCAGATCTATAGGTAACTTATCTCTCCATTTTTTATTCTTATAACTTTATCTATTTTTCTCTTAGCGTCCATTGTAAATCAATTGCTGATTCTCTGATTTGCCCTTTCTGGGCAAGGTAATTGATAGAGAGCTGGCTCCGGGTGCTCTTGGATAACTAAACTATCTGGCCCCTTTTCAGACCAGCTTTGGCCAGCCGTGGGACGGAAATGGTCCTGCTGGCATTAGTTGATGACCTCTGCCTGAATAGCGAGGGTCATCCCTCTTTGTTGCTCCTATTGGATTTATCAGCAGCCTTCGACCCGAGTGTGCCGCATGACGGAGTGAGCTCCTGTCTCTAGTTCCAGCTCCTGCCAACCTAGCAGTTCAAAAGCAAGAAATTGCAAGTAGATAAATAGATACCACTTCAGTGGGAAGGTGACGGCGTTCCGTGCGCCTTGGTGTTTAGTCATGCCGGCCACATGACCACGGAAACGTCTTTGGACAGCGCTGGCTCTTCGGCTTGGAAACGGAGATGAGCACCGCAACCCTAGAGTTGGATTCGACTGACTTTCGAGCAAGGGAACCTTTACCTTTTTAATCACTCTAGACTTGGGATAATGTAGTTGAAACTTCTTTTGAACAGCTGGCCCTCATGTAGATAAAAAAAAATCTCCCAAACAGATCCAGGCCTAGACTGCAATTTAGGGTTCTTCAAATGTAGGGGAAATATCCAAACATGGAGTTTGGCCAGCATATTGGATTCTCATAGTAAGATGAAATGCCACATCCAACGCAAAAAAAAAAGCATGCAAGACTAGCATCGTTTCCAGCTTATATCCCCTGTTGGCTTTCCCTGTTCTCCTCCTCCCTCCCAGCCCCAGAAGATGAACAGGCAAGGGGCAAAGGAAGACCTGGAAGCATTAGGGGAAGCTGAGATGGAGGGGCTGGGCCAAGGATGAAGGGAGGAAATACCAAGCAGGTGGTAGGGAATGGAGCCAGAGGGTGGAAAAGGAGGGCCAGTGAAGCCAACGATCAGAGGCTTTCTGATTTCGAAATCATCCTTTCTGAAAAGACAAGAACAGAGAATCAGTCAAGACCTTAAACACAACATTGCCCATTTGGAACAAATACACAAACGGACTGGGGATTCACAGACCTACAAAGACTTGTTAGCGACCCGCTGTGAGTTAGAACTGATAGAGATTACGGACATTCAGAAAGCACTTCTTCGTCTTAAGCAAAAAAAAACATGGCTCAGCAACCCAAAGGGTCTTAAACTACTAAAATACCGCTTAAATAAGAAAAAAATCATCTCATCTTAGTCCACTCATTTGAGCTGGAACATTACATTGTACCACTACTGCAATTAAACGCGTATTCTATGGTTTTTATTCTGACCTTTGAGTCAACGAAGCCAAAGAAAAATCTTATTAATCAGTTTTTGGAGACGTACTGCTTGCCAAGGCTCTCTGCAGAACATCAGGAGATACTGGAATGCTCTTTTTACTGCTGAGGAACTCCATACTGTGGTTAAAACCATGAAAAACAAAAAAGTCTCCTGGCCCAGATGGGTATCTAGTTGAATTTTATAAAAAGTATGCAGAGATACTGATGGATCCTCTGGTAAACACTTGTAATCAAATCCTAGGGAATGGGTGTGTACCACCATCTTGGAATCAAGCAGTGGTGACTGTATTACCAAAGGACAATAATGACTTGACACTGCCAATGTCGTATAGGCCCATTTCCCTTCTTAATGTGGATTATAAAATATCTACTGCAACATTGGCTGCATGATTTAACACCTTTATCAGTATATTAACCCAGACCAGGTGGGATTTATTCCTGGTAGGGATCTTATAGAAAACACGCATAAAGCTCTGAATATTGGGCACTATGCAAAACAGAAAAAAGTTAAAACTTTATTTGGATATACAAAAAGCCTTCAATTCTTTGGAGCCTACGTTTCTGGACTTAGTATTACAATATATGGGCTGCGGCCCAAAATTTTTAAACACAATGGCAGCCTTATATACTGAACCGCAGGCAAGAATTAAAATCAACAATCCGCTGTCTGACACGATCCAAATCAGACGGGGCACATGGCAGGGATGCCCATTATCACCAGTGTTGTTCTTACTTGCCATCAAACTGTTGGCTAATGCGGTAAGAATTCACTCTGGCATCAAAAGGGATCAGGATTGGTGATTGTGCTTATAAAATTAACCTCTTTGCTGATGATATGCTCCTGTATTTGACCAATCCTGTATACTCGCTGGAACATCTTCAATGACTTCTGGAGGGCTATGCGCAGATTTCTGGCTTGAAAATTAATCAAAATAAATTGGTTATTCTTTCATCACATCTTTCACGTGCAGAAATAATATGAATCTAACAAACTTATAAATATCATTGGACAACAGCTTCTCTTAAATACTTAAGTATACAAATCCCAGATTCCTTATTGGACCTTCAAAAATTTAATTATGACAAAGTTATTCAGGACATACAATCTAAACTTGCTTCTTGGAAAAATAATATACTAACGTGGAATGACAGAATTGATATAATAAAGTCTTTTTTGCTTCCTAAATTTATTTTTCTCTTTAAAGTGATTCCAATTGATATTCCTCTTTTGACCTTGCATAAATGGCAATAGTTATTTCTTTGTTTTTTCTGGGCATATAAAAAGCATAGAATCGGTCAATAAACTCTTTTGTGACGTCCAGTGCCTGGTGGTCTTGGGTTACCGGATTTACCCTACTATTATAATGTGGTACACTTAGCAGTATTGGTGAGATTTTTACTTGTCACCAATTCCAGAGATTGGGCATCAGTCTACAAACATTTTAAGTCCTCATTGGACCTAACGGATACTATATGGCAGAATAGCCGCCATAGACACCCGGAAGCGGCACACAACCCATTTTTAAAAGCCTTGCTGCATACCTGGGATAAATTTTCCTCAAAACGTCTTCCACAGATTTCCAGATTTACATCTTTTGTGATACAGGATGGGTTTCTTAAAGGTGTAACCATAACCAAGTTAGCATTTTGGAAGAAACAACAGATGACACGTCTAGTAGATCTAATTGATGGGACATCATTTCTGACTAAGAATGCCATGGAGCAAAAATTACAAAAACAGATAAATTGGTTTACTTACCTGCAACTTCAAACCTTTTGCTCTAAACTGAATGTCACCCAGAACGTATGTCAACCCTTGACAGAATTTGAATGTCTTCTTAAACTACACCCTACAAAGCAAAAGGAATGATTTCGGTACTCCACAAAATCGTAGAACAGACTGATCTCTCAAAGCCATTACCATACCAACGTAAATGGCAAAAAGGCTGTCCTTCACTGGCCCTTGCAGATGGATGGAATGCCGTTTGGACATCGGCGGAATTTAATTCTTCAGTCTTGACAACACGTTACCAAATGTTTAAATTAGTCTCCTGATGTTACCTAACACCAAAATCTTTATCGTATACCTCGCCACAGCTGAGTCCAGGTTGTTGGAAAAACTGCGGGTTGGTTGGAACTTATATCCACTGTTGGTTGACCTGTCCAGTGTTGGTACCTTTTTGGCAAGTAATTTTGGAGACAGTTACAACAATGACGGGGATGACACGATAATCTACTCTGAGATTCCTACTAATAGGAGCAAATTGGAATAAAGATCAACCTCAATGGATAACTAATGTTATTGTGATTCTTTTATTGGCCGCCAAGCTTGCCATAGCTGCTTGTTGGAAAATTTCCATTGCCCCGACTCTACAGATGTGGCATACACGATTATGGAATCATTATGTTCTAGCTAGGCTTACTCTTAATGTGAATCAGATGACATCAACTAGAGCCCTCTTAGAGTTTAAGAAAATTCTGTCACCAATTCTAACTTATCTTTCTAATCAGAAGGAAATTCCAAAGGAATTTTGTTATGTTTAATAGATGTCAATATTTATTTTATAGCTAAATGATATATTTTTAAACTATATTTACTATTTGTATGTCCTTAATCTTAGTAAGAGCTTTATGGACCCTTTAACGGTTGGTGAGGTATTGATTTTTTTGTTTGGTTTTCTATTTTGGTTTTTGTTGTTGTTAAAACTGAATAAATTTAAATAATTTTTTAAAAGGAGGGCCAGTTTGAGGTGGGGTGGGATTTGCCTTTCCCCTGTGAGTGCTCGCAGGTCCGTCCCCCCGCTGCATCTAATTTTAGCAGGAGTGAAACAAAATTTATTTAAAGTACTAATTCAATTTCACTTGTTGAACGTGTAATACCGATTACTCGGATTTAAGTGAACACCCTTTAAGTTATCATGTGTTAAGCACCAGTAAACATCAGTGCATGCTTATCTAGATTAATAGAGGGCAGCTGTGTTGGCCTGCGGTAGAACAGTTAGATTCGAGTCCAGTAGCATCTTATAGTCCAACAAAAGTTTCAGGGCGCAAGCCTTTGAGAATCCAAGCTCCCTTTGTCAGATGCAGACAAAGTTGGAGTCCAGTGGCACCTTTAAGACCTACAAAGTATAATTCTGGGTATAAGCTTTCATGTACATGTTTGGTGTAGTGGTTAAGTGCGCGGACTCTAATCTGGGAGAACCGGGTTTGATTCCCCACTCCTCCACTTGCACCTGGCTGGATGGCCTTGGGCAAGCTGTAGCTCTGATAAGAGCTGTTCTTGAAAAAGAGCAGTTTCTGCCAGAGCTCTCTCAGCCCCACCTACCTCACAGGGTGTCTGTTGTGGGGAGGGGAAGGGAAAGGAGATTGTAAGCCACTCTGAGACACCTTTGGGTAGTGAAGGGCGGGGTATAAATCCAATCTCTTCTCTCTTCTTCTTCTTCAGATACTGTTAGATACAGTGGTTTATAATGTGTGTAATTCTTCATTTCAGAATTGACTCTGAAGAGCCCAGTCACTGTGGCACTAGAAAATGGAGATATGTTCAAAACCCTGAAATTGTTGGTTGATCTGGGCCCCTGGGATGCGCCTGTATTATTGGCATATGCCCAAAGGTATACATGTTGTGTCTTGTTTGAAGAGACATCGTATTTGATTCCCCCAGTGTAGGGAGCAATCCAGTCCATTTCCAGCTCTATCCCTTTGTGTGTGTATAGCTGTGAATGCAAGGGGAGTATTCCCTGACTTGTGTTACAACTACTGTGTATACCAGGTACATTGTACCAACTTTGTAAGCCACCTTGAGCCTGTTCGCGGGGAGGGCAGAGTATAAATCTGCTGAAATAAAATAAATAAATATGGGCACAGAACGGCACGGATAAGTTGGGTGCAAGAAAGGTCTCCCCCCCTCCCATTTTAAAAGTACTTTGGTGTGATAATCTTTGTGATTCTACATTCACCCATTACCACAATGGCGTACTAGTTAATATAGTTCTGTGGGAAAAACAAAGAAATGATTTGTTTTTCAATATGTGCTTTGTCCTTTCTTGTTTTATATAGGCTTTATGAAAAATTTGGAGAAACTTCTCTAAGGCCCCTGATCAAGTTTTATCCATCCATTTTGCCTTCAGACATCAAGCAAATTTGTAAAAGCAATCCTGAGCATTTTCTGGCATTCTTAGACAGTTTAATCAAATCAGAGGCTGAAGACAAACGGTACAGAATGTTCTTTCTTACTGTGGGGGAGAGAAGTAAAGGATTGTGTGCAGGAAAATAATTAAAATGGGTTGGGCATTGCACATTTGGCTTTTCTTGACTTCTGATTACTTCACTGTAATTTCTGAAAAGCGGAATACTATTTAAATAAGGGATGTTTGAGTCTGTTCTTTTGCTTTGAGATACAAACTAAAAGTAAACCCAGCCTTAGTTCATGGGATACTGAAAACCCTTCTTGTGTTTGCACTTCTAAAATTTACCTGGTATACTTGGTAAAAATAATATCTTTCTAGGTTGTCTTTCCTGAGATCTCTTCTCCATCCTGAATCATTACGATTGGATTGGTTATGCTTGGCAGTTTCTCATGATGCACCAAATGCAGCAAGTACCCGGGACGCCCAAGGAAATCCAAGGTATGAGTTATTAGTTATCCAGGTTTGCTGTATGCCAACACTTCTGTAATAGACTCCCAGTTTCTCACTGGTTTATTGTTGGACTTATTTAGATGATCAATCACAAGGTGCACCAGTGATAGTTGAGCTTTGGAGGATGATCCTGATAGGCTGAAGGGCTGATTCATAGTAGTAGTAGTAGTAGTAGTAGTAGTAGTAGTAGTAGTAATAATTATTATAATTATAATTTCAATTTATTGATCGCTTTTTCCCATTCATGCGGGCTCAGAGCGAGTTACTCAGAGACAATGGACTAACAATATATTTGTGGGGGATAGGGAAGACAACATACAATATTTAATCACACACACATTGTAGCTGGTCGGAGGATCCATCTGCAGGCTGTATCAGTCATGTTCCGACGGCATGTATTCTGTCGGCTGGCTGAGGACGTCAGGGCTCTCGATGTCACACTGCCACCACCTGGCCGATTCGCTCCACTGCAGGGAATGCCAAGATTTTTCCACTTTTTGATCTCTGCCGCGTCGCAGATGTCACACTGGCAGCTAACTCCTCCCAAGGGGAGTGGCGTGCCCACCCCCTTATCGGTGGTCCCCAATTTATCTACTTGCCGAAGCTTTCGAATCGCTGGGTAGACGATGAGCTAGGGACAAGGCTTGGCTGCTCACACCAGCACGGGGCTAGAACTGACAAAGTATCTAGCCCACATATGAATTATTTATTACAACTTTTTAGTAAAAATATATATCTTCTTTCCTTCTTCTAGAAGTGGGTATACTACTCTAAACCTACAGGTCTCAGGTAAGAATAAAAGGAAGAAAGGAAGAATTCAAGCCAGAGAGAACGGGCTGTGCCATAGTGGAGAAGGTTGTTTTTTTTTTCCGTCACAGGCTACCCAAACTCTCATGGCCTGAACAAGGAATTTAGCTTTAAAAAGTATATTTGCTGGCCTAGGATCCATTAAAATTTTAGTAATTAAAATGTCTGGAGGAAGCTCATTTCACTGGGGCATAAGTGGCCTGGTCCATTTCTCTCTAGACTCCTTATACCATGGACATTCAAATAATTTTCTATTATCTCTATTCAGATAAGTTTCTATGATCTCTAAGCCACAACTGCAGCAGTGTTCCCTTTAAACCGAGGTAGTGTGAGCTAGCTCACAGTTTTTTAGCCTCCGTCTCACAGATTTTTGTCTTAGCTCAGGAAGGAGGGCTCCAGAGCAAACTAATTTATGCAGCAGTCAAATCGCTGACTCACAACTTTAATGCCAGTCGCTCACAGAGTAGAATTTTTGCTCACAAGACTCCACAGCTTAGAGGGAGCATTGAACTGCAGTATCTCTGAAAATGGTGTACCTAACATACAGCCTACAGAGATTGCAGATGGTAGTGCATTTAATCTTGCGGCATAATTGCTCACCTGTATCTTGGAACGGTGAGGCTACACAAGTACTTTGGGATTATAAAGAGTGGTGGGATTCCCATATGGAGAGAAGAGCAGACATGCCGAGCCCAGCAGATAGTACTATCGATATCATTCTTCATAATCAACTGCTTGATAGTCTCATGGGCTAGGAACCACCCTAACACAAAAATAACTTTCTCTGGGCGTCATATAATATTCAGTTTTTCTGTTACAGCCTGATTCCATGGAGTGAGAAATTATCTTGTTTCATATAATATAATAAACTATTATCTGGAGAGAACATTATTTTGAGTTTCAGATTTAATGTCAGTATCCAAGCCCTAGATACAGTTCTAGGGCAATAAAGGTAAAGGTTCCCTTGCTCGAAAGCCAGTCGAATCCGACTCTAGGGTTGCGGTGCTCATCTCCGTTTCAAAGCCGAAGAGCCAGCGCTGTCCGAAGATGTACATGACTAAACACCAAGGCGCACAGAATGCTGTTACCTTCCCACTGAAGTGGTACCTATTTATCTACTTGGAATTTCTTGCTTTCGAACTGCTAGGTTGGACATATTTAAAGAGCCCACAGATCTGATGCAAGAATTGTATTAGTGGCCGATCTATAGTCTCATTTATCCTGTGAACCCAGATTGCTGCTCCATATAGTAGATGAGACCTTAGCATTGAAAGCTGTAATTGATGACGGAAGGTACTGTCCACCTTTCCTGTAGAAAACACACTTTATTGCTGCGCTAGAGCAGACGGTTGACGCCATCACATCCTGTAATCTCTGTGTTTGTGTGTATACACAGTTTTGTTTTATTTAGTTTAAACAAAAAATAAAAAGTAGATATGCAACAGTAAGGCAGAGAGAAAGATGCACAGCCTGGAAAAAGTGAAACTACTTGAAATGGTAAGGAGGTATTGCAAGAGAAAAAAATGGTTTTCTCTGGGACTCACAGCTTATTATGTTTTACAGAAGTGCTCCTATGGGAAACTTTTACATTCTGATGTGATTCTTCAATTAGAATGGTGTGTATTCAACCATCCACGCATACAAGGCACATGGAATTTTCCTGCATTCTTCTTCATTCCTGCAGCCTCTTCAAGACCCTAGAAAGATAATTCTTAGGGTTATGTGATCTGTGTGGAGGACTATTTGGGGGTTGGAGGGCTTGAGTGATGAAACTGACCTTTTTCCTCAGTGAAGGCCGGCTTGTGGAAGAGGAGGGGGAAAAGAATTTCATTCTACCCCCTCCCAGCTGTTTCTCTGCACTGGTCCAACATCCAGAGAATGATTTTTGAAGGGGCTGCAAGAATAGAGAGGAATGCAGGCAAACTCTGTGTTCTGTGGCCAGAGCAGCAGGATACATGCTGTGGGACTATGAGGCCAAGATGGGAAAATTTGAACAGCTGCAGTTTTGTTTTTGTTTTTTAAATCTCCGCTATAGCTTGCAAACTGAAGAGCAGCTGACCTCTTCGGCGTTAGTGTTCATAGTCCCTCTGCAGTAGATGCCTGTGAGTCACTCATATTATGCAGATCTCCTACTCTGTTAAAGCATTAGTAGTAAAGGTCCCGTGGTTTGAGTGAGAAAATGTCATTTCCTTGCAACAAATAATATTTGAAAAAAACTGCTGTAGCCTCCAGAATTGATAGTTGTTTGTTTAGGGGGGGAAAATTATGCTGTTTTTCCAGGAACCAGCCTGAGGCAGTTTACCAAATAAAAGTAATAAAGACAAATATTAAAAGGTATCAGACCCAAAACATGTCTATTTGCTTAAACCATGGGTGGCCAAACTTGCTTAGCATAACAGCCACACAGAATAAACGTCAGATGTTTGAGAGCCACAAGACACGAACAAATATTACACACACATTTTTATTGGGGGAAAAATGCAAATTTGCTTCTTATTAACATTAAATTAAATGCTCCCGAGCTGCAGTTTGGCCACCCCTGGAAGCTATTTGGAAAGGCTGTTAGTTTCAATCTCGTGTGGACAAATTTATCATGTGTTTGGCAGCCCTAGGGTTCATTCACAAAGTGTTGTTTTGTCTGTATTTGTACTTGGAGCCTTTTTCACCTTGAAGTTTATTACTGATGGAAAGAATTCACCTAGGAAAAGACCTTAAGCGGCACCAGTTGCTCTTCAGATACGCTCAGGGCCGGCTCACTCACTAGGCGAACTAGGCGATCGCCTAGAGTGGGCTGGCCCTTAGGGGCGCCAAACTGCACCCGGCCCCGTACTCTGGGAGTTTCTTGATTATTTGTGTTTTTCATTCTTCCTAAAATGCTTATATTTTGGAAAAATGGTGGGCGCACCGGGGGGGGGGGGCGTCAGAAGGGATCCTCGCCTAGGGTGCAAAATAAGCTGGGGCCGGCCCTGGATACTCTGTACTGTGATATGAGACAGAAATTGTACCTCTTTGTGATAAAAGCATCTTTCTGAATTGTTGCAGAAGCTCTGTTTAGCACGGATAGTTTTGACTTCTCTTAAAGCAGCCAGTGCTTTACGGTGTTCTAGTGTTATGTTTGAAACAGAGAATATGATACTGTGAAATTTTATCACCACTTAAGACTTTGGTCCCATCAAGCCACTGGGGACCAAATAGAGGAAAATCTTTGGTGAAGAATGCTAGCAAAAAAACCCACCAATGTTGCTCAGATCAAAAGAGGAAGCCTGACCCAGGAATGTGGGTCTTTGTGGGGTCTTACCCTTTGAACTGCTCTGACCTCAAAGAATCTTCTTTCAGGTTTTGGCTTATCTTGTAGCTCCCTCCTTTGGCCACTGATTGGTGCTGGTAAACAGGCTTAAATCTCTGCCGGTTATTGCCCAGAATCAGAACCTACTACAAGCTTGGACACTAACTCTATGTGCATTCCTTCTGATATCAGTGGCTCTGGTGCAAAAGAAGATGAATTCTAATTTAATCTGTTGGTTATTGTCACACTCTCAACAACACTCTCTGGCAGTGATTTGTTTGTTGAGAAATAATCATGTTCCAGGCCAGGCCAGTACTGTGTCAGAACTGGGGTTCTGGCAGGAGAATCCAAAGATATAGACAGTTCAAACGGAGCCCCCCCATTCAAGTGCATCCAATCACACTCCGCAAACGTCCTGCCTAGCTTTCATGCTTCCTACACCCCCCTACCTGTGAATATATGGATTATATAAACAACGAAGCAGGCAGAGCTTTGGCTTCAGGGTCATCCCTGGTGAAGGGGGTATTGTGAGAAGAGTTAGGTTGCCTACAATAGAGCGGTTCACCCACACTAGAGCTGCCAAGTCCCCCTGGGGGGCGGGGATTCCCCTGCTGAAAGGGCCCCCAGTCTGCCAGTCCGGATCCGGCCGGCGGGGGGAACCCCACCCCCAAAGTAGCCAGATCAGGCTGACGTGCCCAGCACAATGACGTCACCCGGAAGTGATGTAATCACGCTGGGCACGTTGCAGGGCGACACTCTAGCAATCGCCCTGGGACGTGCCCAACGTGATCACGTCACTTCCGGGTGATATCATTGTGGCACGTGCGCGCGCAAAACTCCCGGACCAGGACCGGGTCCCCCCCGCTATTGCAGGTAAGAGACCTGGCAACCCTAACACACACTCAGCCTCACACACACACCCCTCAGGAATTTCTCTCCCTCTACAAATCATGGCAAACTAGAGATTTGATGATGGTATATGTGCTTAAAGAAAATACTCATTTTGAGTAGCTCTAACCTTTTGGGTAAAGGTACAGTCATGCCGGCCACATGACCACGGAAATGTCTTCGGACAGTGCTGGCTCTTCGGTTTTGAGACGGAGATGAGCACCGCAACCCTAGAGTCGAATTCGACTGGCTTTTGAGCAAGGGAACCTTTACCTTTACAGTGGAAGAGATCATAGAAGGAGTTGGCTCAGCAGATCTTTCCCTGTGTTCCCCTAGCAGCCCCCAATAACTGCTGGAAGAAAGCAGGAAAAGGTTTGAACTGCCAGCTCCTTTCGTGAGCTTTTCTACTGGAACCCACCCTGTACATGTGAAGTATTTTCATAGGTATTGTATGTGTTTTCATGGGAATATGTTAATAATTATTTTTAAATAAACTATAATTTCCGCTATTTATCCTCACTTCTACCTCGTTCCTTTCCCTTTGTTGTCTTTTAAATAAATTTTTAGATGTAAGTTTTTGGGTTAGGGATCTGTCCTGTTGTGTTCAGTAAAATGCCAAACAAATTAATGGCACAACAAATTTTTATCATTTTACAAAATGTTTATTAAAAATATATTTTGATCTTTATGTATTCGCTTTAAAGTTTTGTATTTTTGTAACGGAAATATATTTTCTGGCTTTTTTTAAAAGAATGGCCATGTGAAAAATGGTTTTATCGGAGGGATCCTTTGAGAAAATGTCTTTCATATTGTCACTGAGCATATGCCAAGCCACACGTACGCAATATTTCCAAAGAAATTTAATTTTTGACTTTATGCTTTAATATTTTCAGGCCACGGTCACATTTATTTACTTGGGGATATAACCAACTGATTTTACTATTGCTTAAACTCCCGGCTGACATTATAACAAAAGAGAAGATGGCTGAAATCTGCAAAAATTATGGGTAAGGTAAATGTTTTTGTAGAGGTAAGATTATTCTTGAGGGTGGATGTTGTTTGTTCTTTTAGTTTGTTCAGCTTCAGCATCCAGGAGATGCATATTGTGGACATGATGAGCCCGCCATGAAACCAGGGGCCATAGTGCCTGCCAACACTTTTCCCTGCTGTCCACAGAGTGTTTTTAGAAAGGGAGTGGGTCCGGATGGTACTGTTGCCCAGTAGGGCTTCTGATTGGCCACTAGAGATCTGAATGGCTGTACAGATTAAAAGGCATCCTCTTAATCAGAGCTGCCTGAAATGTTGAAGCGTTACTATTAGAGTTATATATAACTTTGTACCACCGCTCCCTCTAGACCGTGGAGTCTTGTGAGCAAAAATTCTACTTTGTGAGCTACCGGCATTAAAGTTGTGAGCGAGAGATTTGGCTACTGCGTGAATTAGTTTGCTCTGGAGGCATCGTGCTTGAGCTAAGAACAAAAAATAGCATGAGCCGGAGGCTCAGCTTAGAGGGAGCACTGCTTTGCACCCTGACATTTTGTGGCTGACGCTGCCCCTAGTGGCAGCCATTTTGTGGTTGGTTCTGCCCACCACCCTGTGTCAGAATTCCAGAGTGCCTGCAGGCTCAAAAAGATTTGGGGACCCTGCTTTAAACACTGTATGGAGGCCAGGAACATTGAGTGCTCTGCTTTCTTAGGGGATAGGATGGCTACCATCCTCTTACCTCACTGCAGAGTTGGCCATGTTGGAGCTATTCAGTGTTAGTTGCCTGTGCATTTGAGAATACATAATATGCTTTGTGACCTGAATTCTTAATCTTATCTGGTGTAGGTGGGTGAAAGCACTTGGGCACATGTCTCTTTGTCTTCTCACTGAAGCCTGTAGTAAACTAGAATGTTAAGAACATAAGAGACGCCAATGCTGGATCAGGCCAAAGGCCCATCCAGTCCAACACCCTGTGTCACACAGTGGCCAGAAATACCAGGTGCCATCAGGAGGTCCACCAGTGGGGCCAGGACATTAGGAGCCCTCCCACTGTTGGCCCCCCCCCCCCAAGCACCAAGAAGACAGAGCATCACTTGCCCCAGAGCCCCTACCTATACCTTGTGGCTAATAGCCACTGATGGACCTCTGCTCCATATGCTTATCTAATTCCCTTTTGAAGCCGTCCATGCTTGTAGCCGCCACCACTTCCTGTGGCAGTGAATTCCATGTGTTAATCACTCTTTAATGTTAATTAAGTTTTAATTATTTTGACATGTAGAGCATTTATATTTCCACAGCTTCTGGCCTGGATATCTTTCTCTCTGTTTGGACCTGAATAGAAGAGCTGAAACCCTTACTAATATTGTGTATTTAGATGACATGAACTTGTTGGATGGAGAACATGGTTAGTAAACCTTAATTTGATTAAAGCTGAACGTCTGCTTCTGTTAACTAGACTTAGTGCATATATTTTAATTATCATATATAAATGTATGTCATAGCATAACAAGTGGGGACCTATGAGAATTCACAGCGTGTGGCTGGCAGGCAAGATCTTTGGCTGGGATTTCTCAAATGTTTGTCTGTCTGTCATCTATCTATCACGGCTCATACAGCTATCACCTTAAGCAGAAGTTAGAACCAAAAATTATTGTAAAAGACCTTACTTAGTATTATTTCTCTTATATTTGATTATTGTGTCTATGAATTTTGCCACTGAGAGGGTGACACGATCATTTGTATCTGATAGTAGCCATGACACCTGTGCTTGCACATTTAGCAATTCTGTATTTCGTCTCTAGTTCCAGCTCCTGCCAACCTAGCAGTTTGAAAGCAAGAAATTGCAAGTAGATAAATAGGTACCACTTCGGTAGGAAGGTAACAGCGTTCCGTGCGCCTTGGTGTTTAGTCATGCCAGCCACATGACCACGGAAACGTCTTCGGACAGCGCTGGCTCTTCGGCTTTGAAACGGAGATGAGCACCGCAACCCTAGAGTCGGACTCGACTGGTTTTCGAGCAAGGGAACCTTTACCTTTTTATTTTTAAGTAAAGGGATGACTAAATGATTCCTCAACTTGTTGAATATAGGGCACTCCATAATCATATGTCCGATGGTTTCAGTTTTATCATATGAGCATCTGCTCGTTCTATTAGGGCACATTACTCTATCATATCTGTCCTCCAAAACCGCTGAGGGAGGAACGTTCACTCTTGCCCAAGTAAAAGCTCTTCTTAGTTTTGGGACTGTCAGTTGATTAAAAAAAAATTCTGTCATATATTTTAGCAGCCTCACTGTACAGATAAAAAAACATCTAAGCCACTTTCAGCTCTGTGCTGCTGTAATTCCTGCCAGCCAGGTAATTGGCAGCGGCTTGGGGTTGAAAGCACGGGCTACTGGTGATCACCCGGCTGGCAGTTTGGGCCTGAAAGCAGATTGGGTTTTTGATCTAGATTGTGTGGCTGCTTGAGTACACGATAAAACTGTGATGCTCTGGCCAGGAATGCTCTGGCCAGGAATGCTCTGGCCCAGCATAATTAGGCACCCCCGGATTTGGGGTTGGCAAATACTCCATTTTTATTCCTGAATCCAAAAGTTACCCAACTGACATGTTAGTCTTGTGGAAGCACAGAACTGGACATTACTTAACTGCAGAAATTCTGATAAACACAATTTGACAAAGTGTTACTATAATTAGTTTTTATATAGGGCCATCAGTATACATGGCAGTTGACTTTACGGAACAGCAAGTCCACAGTCTACCCCACCCAGCCGATCGCTGCCCTCCAGTATTAGGCTCTCTGCATATCTCACCCATTCACACTCTGTTTCCCATCACTTACCTTTCCATGTTTCTTATGTACATGCAACCAATCTCTTTCTTGCTGGCCATTACTTTCCTTCCTGCCTTCTGCCTGTATCTCTCTCAGGGCTGCTCCATCCCCACCACCACCCACCACCCAGTTCTCTTGCTCCTAATTCTTCAACTTTCAGGCTGACACATTTTGTTTCTGAAAAGCTTTCACTGCTGCAAACACCGTTCAGTATTAGGTAAACCACCACTCCCCAGCTAGTTTCCCAGTTTTGACAATCAGGAGACAACAAGCATTTACAAGGAACAAATGTGAAAAAATAGAAAAAAACAAGTGGGCTTGCGGGAAACATCTGGAGATTTGGGAGTTTAGCCTGGGAGGGCGAGGTTTGGGGAGGAAAGCAACCTCAGAGGGATGTAATGTCATCAAATCCAAAGTAGCCATATTCTCCAGGGGAACTGATCTGTGTCATCTGGAGAGCAGTTGTAATTCTGGGTGATCTCCAGGTCCCACCTGCAGGTTGGCAAACCTAGTTCCCCTGAAGGAAATGTCTGCTTTGGAAGGTGGAGTCTATGGCATTATATCTCTCTGAGGTCTGTCCATTATCCCCCCACCTTTCCATTTTAGGTAGGCGTCTTTGGGGGGGGGTTGGGAGGTGTCAGTTATCAAAGTCTGTTAAATAAACAAAATATTACAAGAGTTTTAAGCACATTTGTATTTAAAGTAAAACAATATGTTTGTGTTTGTATGTTTTATAAAGTTCATATCTCTGTTACCTGGCATTATGTTTTATGACAACCATGGCTTGGCCCCACAGAGTCCCATTTATGTCATATCTGGCGCTTGTAACAAATGAGTTCGACACCCTTGCTCTAACTGTTACACCACACTGGCTTTCATACGATGGCTGCTGTTGGAACAGTAGCAAGTAGCCATGCCTAGTTCAGTCATGCAAGTTGGGTGGTATCAAGTCACCCAGAGGTTGCTTCCAGGCCTAAGGTTGCCACAGGTGGGATCTGGAAATATCTCAGAATTACAATAATTCCTGATGACAGAGATTTGTCCTCCTGGAGAAAATGACTGCTTTGAAGGGTGGACTCTGGTATTATATTAGGCTGAGGCCTCTCTCCTCCCCAAACCCTGCTGTCTTCAGACTCCACCACAAAATGCCCAGGACCTGTAACTGGCAACCCTAGCCCCAATGAGTTCTCCCTCAAAGGTCAAAATAGGCATGGAGAGGGCCCTGCCCCCTCCCCCTGACTTTTTAGTCACTGTGAAACTGGAATATTGTGGTTGCCTAGCAACAGCCACTGAAGGAATCTATTGCTTAAAGCTACAGGTGTTCCTATTATAATGTTTGGATTTTTTAAGCTGCCCAGTGTAATTTTCTTTTAGATTTCACATTTTTCTGCAAACCTAGGGCCCTTTTCAGTTTTGTAGAAAGATCTGTCTTGCCTGTTCACAACTCCAGTCACTGGATTTAAGTATCCAAAGATAGCCTCACTTTGTTATTAGAATATAAGATGATGGGGATCTAAATGTATGTTGTGAACATTCCTGTTGCCCTGGTTATTGTGACAATACTGACTTTGTTAATTAGAAGGAACAGTTATTTCTTAGTAGTAACTCTGACTTCACCAAAATCACTGCAGCCTCTGTCCCAGGCCACATGTTTGTTTGTTTGTTTCCCAACATAAGTCCTATAATCTTCAGCATCCTTGTTCTGGAGGTCTTAGGCAGCAAAGTGACCTGATCTTTTTAACCATAAATGTTCTTTCACTTTCAGGGGCTGTGCCAGAGACCATGGAAGAATGGAGGTTTCTTCTCAGTCTTGTAAAGAGTCACCACAGCAGTGTCCTTCATCCTGCTATGCAGAATGGCAGTGCTGTTAGTAATGGTACTCCAAATTGGTCAAATTGTGTTACTGTTGAGAATGTGGCTCTTCTGTTGGCTAAAATAATTGGCCCAGATCGTGCTGTGCTGCTATTGCAGGAATGTGGCCTAATGACCGAGTTATCTGAAAAATTTGCCAAAGTCTGTGAGATACTAAGAATTGCTGAAAAAAGGCAAAGGTAGGTTTTGAGAGAATGGTCTCTTGTTATCACTTTGGGATGTAATTAAATATACTTGAAAGTAAGATGGAAAACTTCAAATTTCTCTTCAAATAAAAAAAATATATCAAAATTTATTAAGAACAGTCATAAGACCAGCAAAATAAACCAAAATAGTACAGCACCGAGTCTACGACATAGAATCTTTGCAGCCTTAAATACTAAAATACGAAACCGGTCAATTCCGTCATTAATGGCTCGAGTTACAGTACATTCTGCGCTTTTTTATTACCAAATAACAATATTTAGCAACATTGCGTGAGACAGAATCATAAGTATCGGCCAATAAAAACTTCATCAAACATTCCTCGGCATATGTAAGATAATTAGCCAAGGGTTTAAAACGTGAGAGAAGGGGTATCAACAACTGCTGTCTCTCTTCGTCGTACTTAGGGCAATGGAGTAATATATGGGAGGCCGACTCCACCTGTTCTAACAGATAGGAGCAAATTCTCTGGTGCATGGGAGTCAAATTTCTCTTCAGATACTTCTACAAAGCCAAAATAAAACACTCCACTGTGGGAAAACATTGAAATCAACTTAAATGATCTTTATGTTAATCCCAGATTTTACTTATTTGAGTTGGGACAGTCTTCCCATATAAACTGTAACACAGGTCCAGGTGGTCAGCCATGTTGGCCTGAAGCAGCAGAACAGATTTGGAGTCCAGTGGCACCTTTAAGACCAACAAAGGTTTATTCAAGGAATGAGCTTTCGATGTGCATGAGTGCATTTGAAAAAGTGTGCATACACACGAAAGCTCATACCTTGAATAAACCTTTGTTGGTCTTAAAGGTGCCACTGGACTCCAAAAATTTAACACAGGGGTGTGCATTTGGATCTAACCAAGCTGAAAATATACCCAAAAAACCCTTATTCTATTTAAATACCTTTTGCAAGTGGCGCCCCATAAATGGAGTCCCAAGCGGCAAGATCACTGGGAACTCGCTGCTTGGGACTCCATTCTGGGAGGGAAAGAAAGGCGTTTAAACCTAACAGCTGACTGGCGGCTCAGCCTGTTAGGTTTAAATGAGACCTTGTTTTCGGTATAGCAAAATGAACCCGAAAAAAGCCAGATAATATAGCTGCTGTATTCGGCGTATGGGATACCCGAAAAATATCTTGTTGGTATTTTTCGGGTATTTTTTCAGTTTGGCTGTTGCCAAATGCAAACCTCTAGATAAACCTCTGCTGAGTAACTGTAGCCTTTGGGTGCACTCCTAAGGAAGCCTACTTGGAAGTAAGACCTATATTAGTTAATTGGATTTACTTCAAGGAAAATATCCTTAGAGTAGACGTGAGGTACTTATTCTATGAACCAAAATTGTTGAGCTGTTGTGATCTATGTACAAACAATTGTAAATCCAATTTGAGGTTCAGTCAACTTGATGGAAGAACTTGGGGGATAAAAATGAGAGTTTAATCATGTCTACAATAATTTAATTTTTCCCCCCTTCCACTCCTTCATTTTTGTTGCAGAGCCCTGATTCAGTCCATGCTGGAAAGATGTGATCGATTTTTGTGGTCTCAACAAGCATAACAAAGGATAATGATTGTTATAAGACACATCCATTGTCAGACCTGTACCAGTTTACAGAAAAGTCTTCCTCTCTGGAAAATGGTGCATTAGTCAGTTTGAACAAAAATTGGTGGTAATGAAGCTTCTTTTTATATTAATGTTCAAGTCTTAGTATGTTGGAGTTCTATAACTGAATATGTATTTGAGGATGTGTTTTGTCAGTTACTTACTAAAAGTGCCGAACTATATTTCTGTGAGCACCTTAGAAGTATTTGTATATGTTAAAAGAGTTGCATTATCAGTGTTAACTTTACATATAATCACTATAAGTATATTCTGGCAATATCAAAAGCATGACAGGTTCTGTACAGTTACTAGCAGATGACCATTCAGTTTGTAAGAAGGTGCACATAAATGATTTTACCTGTATAATTAGACAGTGTCCTTTATGAGTTAAATCAAAAACTCTTGTAAGGTATGGCTACTAAAGGGATGTAACACCTTCCAAATCTACATAAAAGCTGCAGTACTGAATTATTGGTAAGTTAAAGTGATAATCAACAGAGCTTAGATGCTGTTAGCTAAATGTTACTGACAATTGACTTTGGTAATTTTAGCGTAAATGTTACTGACAATTGACTTTGGTAATCTCAATCGCCAGCATTTTAGCAATGAAAGGTAAAATTACGTATATTAATACAATTTGTCCTCTTACTAAAAAGCACCTTAAAACTTTAAGAAAAACCCCTAAAATAGTTTTGCACTGTTTTCTTGTTTACAACTTTGTATAATGACAGCTTGATTCCATTCATGCTTATGTGTAAGTAAGTCCTACTGTGTTCAAGGGGGCTCAGTCCAAGTGTGTATAGGGTTATATGCCACAACTGGAATAGTGATACACTTTTTACTTAACACTTGGAGAATCTTCACTGTTGCAGTTTCATTTGACTTCGAAGCATTCATATTATAAACTCCACTAAACTGAATACTTCTGTTGACATCATCTGGTGTTTGATAAAAAAGAGAATACTATGCAAATCATTTGGAGCCATATGTTAAATATTTAATTTCTAGAAATCATATTTTTAATATTGGCTTGGTTCCAAAGTAATTCAAGGCTGCTTCCACTTGGGCAAGGGAGCTTTCATTATGCCTTCTGGCAACATCCCCTGGTGTCCCCTGAAAGTTTTTCCTGAAAGTGTGTGTGTGGGGGGACCCTGCACAAAAGCTTTCCGACAGGTGAGGGAAGCTGCAGCTGGCAGAAGGGGAGGGGAATCATCACTCATACACACTCCAGAGTTTGGAATACTTCCCATTTCTGTGCAACTGAAGAGCAGCCTCGGGTCGAAGCCGATGCAAGTTACACTTAGTGGAGAAATTAATACATCGTATAGAGTTATGAAGTTTTGGTAACTCCCTTTTGAAAGGCTTCTAGAATTCCAACTGTGTACTTTTCAATGTGCTTTTGACCCAATCTTCAAGCTGAAGTCTGAAATCGCACAAATGCATCATAGCTTTAGGTTTTCAATACAGTCTTTTAGAACATAATTCCATACTAGTTGTTGTGAGTCCTTGTCTCTAAACTTAAACAAAGCACAAAGCTTTACATAAATCACCTTTTTCCCCTGTGCCTTATTTTTCTAGACCACGATCCAAAGAGTCTTGTGAGCGGTGGGCAATGGCTTGTTGTGCACACTAGAGTTTTCCCCTTTTCCCCACCAGTGGCTTCTTACACTTTTGTGGTTTCATCAGGTTTCAGGGCCTGCTTCATTGGCATCATGGGGGGAGGAGGAGGGGGCAGCTTCCAGAAACGGAGGTGGAGAGGCCCTGCCGTGAACGGGGGACTCAGTGTGCACACTTTTGAACGGGGTATCTACATGCAATTTAGTATACACATAGTTTAAAGTTTACAAATGCATGAAATAAGTTCACGAGCTTTTCATAAAACTCTGTATCTCAAAAGGAAGTGATGTGGAACAACTAAAACTGTCTACATAACAATTTTTGTACTTTGCTACTTACTGTTTATATTTTTGAAAATGAATCGCTACTTTTAAACATACAGTATGATTTTGTTATCTGAAACATTGCTTGTACTCAAACAGCCATGTTTATGATCTTTGCTTACTTGGAGTTTATTAAAGTTAATATATTTAATCATCACTTGTTCCGTCCCCCCCCTTCTTTGTAACGTAAAGGGGTAAAGTTTTAAATCCACCTAGTGAAACAGGCCTAAGCACAGGAGGAATTATTTGAGGTGCTATCCAATTCCAAAAACTGCCATTTCAGACACAAACAACTCTCTCTCTCTTCTTGTGCTTTGGTCGTATTCTCATGACAACTTCAAGAACTTCATTGCCCTTTACACAAAATAAACCAAATGGAGACCATAACTCAGGCCACTACTACTCTTCCATTTCTCAAGCTCTGTTGACGATTGTGATGTCCTTAGTCACCCCACTACATTCCTGAAGGCATAGTACAGGTGATTCGAGGAAAAAAACATTTTGGAAGCTGACCCTATAGCAGGTATGTGGTGCAGCACTACGCTGGATCAGTCAGAGCTCTCATTTTTAAACTGATTTTAGTAGCTTGGCTTGGCCCTAGTGGAGAAGAATAAACAAGCTGAATTAGGGAAGACTTTTGTTATAAATTAACATTTTCTGAGTTGGGAAAGTAGAAAAGAACTAGGCTCCTAAATCTGTTTGAAATCGCCGTAGTAGAAATGTTCTGGAAGAAAGGCATGTAGTTATCTTCCCCACCCGTCCAGTGGATTTTCAAATCCTGACTGACTGATATCTTGGATTTTCTGGCTCAACAGGAAAAAGAGTCTAACGGTAGTTTAATTGTTCCTGGAGGGACACGGTTCAGAAGGTGGTGTTAAGAAACGGCTTTATTTCCACATTGAGTGAGGGATCCCATTTAAGGCCCCATGTAGTTGCTGGGGGAAGTCATCAGGAGGTTTAGGGGTATGGTGTTAACAACATGCAGGGGATATAACTGAAGAAGAGATTGGATTTATACCCTGCCCTCCACTCGGAGTCTCAAAGCAGCTTACAAACTCCTTTCCCTCCCCCTCCCCACAACAGACACCCTGTGAGGTAAGTGGGGCTGAGAGAGTACACCACCCTTAACTTGGAGTCTCAGAGCGGTTTACAAACTCCTCCCCCCTCCCACAATAGACACCCTGTGAGGAAGGTGGGGCTGAGAGAGCTCTGACAAAAACTGCTCTTTTCAAGAACACCTCTGACAGAACCATGGCTTGCCCAAGATCATTCAGCAGCTGCGAGTGGAGGAGTCGGGAATAAAACCCGGTTCTCCCAGATTAGAGTCCGTGCACTTAACCACTACACCAAGGGCAGAATTGCTTGGAATTGATGGGCTAGGTGTGAGTGAACAATCTGAAGCTTAATCCTGACAAGGCACAGAACACCTGTTGATTTAGAATTCAGTTGACCTGGTAAGTAGGGTTCTACCTGTGCTGGGTCAGAATGTACTGCTTCTGAAGTCCCAGGTCTGCAGTTTGGGGTATTGAGTATTAATTGCTTCCTAGAACCCTTGATTGAAGGTGAAAGAAGAAGGGGACGGCAAAGGATGAGATGGTTAGACAGTGTTATCGAGGCAACGGACATGAAATTAAGCAAACTCCAGAGCACGACAGAAGACAGGAGGGCCTGGGGTGATGTGGTCCATGGGGTCGCAAAGAGTCGGACTCGACTGTGCGACTGAACAACAGCAGAACCCACTGTGACCAGGTGTGCCTTCTACCATCTCATTTTTTCCCTGTGTGTTGGCCAGTGTTCCATCCAAGCTGAGTTAGTCTGAGCTAGCTCAAAGAGTTTTTTATTTATTTATTTATTTCATTTATACCCTGTCCTTCCCGCATGCGGGCTCAGGGCGGCTTACACAGCACAACAGCGCAATAAAATATAACACATTAAAACAATTTAGGCACGCAAAGTGCGATAAATTTACACAATTATCCACTTAAAAACACAATTCAATATTACCGGATGCATTTTAGCCTCCAGCTCACACCTTTTTGTCTTTGCTCAGGAAGGGTAGCTCCAGAGCAAACTGATTCACGCAGTAGCCAAATCGCTCGCTCACAACTTTAATGCCAGCAGCTCACAAAGTAGAATTTTTGCTCACAAGATTCCACAGCTTAGAAGGGAGCATTGGTGTTGGCTCTGCAGAGACCTCC